GTGTCCCCGGGGCTCAGTGTCCCCCGGGCTCAGTGTCCCCGGGGCTCAGTGTCCCCCGGGCTCAGTGTCCCCCGGGGCTCAGTGTCCCCCGGGGCTCAGTGTCCCCGGGGCTCAGTGTCCCCCGGGGCTCAGTGTCCCCCGGGGCTCAGTGTCCCCGGGGCTCAGTGTCCCCGGGGCCTCCGCCCGCCGCCCCCACCTCTGCTCTCTCAGGCCCCAGACGCTCTTCTTTTCCTTTTGAAGTTAATTTATTTAGTTTTGTTTTTAAAATATATTTATGGCATCATCTTCACTTCTGCACATGTCCGGTTTCCCCAGGAAATTCCCATCACCAGTTTCCTGTCCCCATCAGCCAAGTCCCTGCGCCCTTCGCGCCCTGCCCTGGTCCTGCCCCTCCCTCCTCCCTACAGCAGGTCTCCGATCTAAAGGATCTGAAGCCGTCGATGATTCTGATTCTGATTTTATTGTATTTACATTCTCCGCCCCTCCCACCCTCAGAGGGTCACGGTAGTGACGGGATTTGAAAGTGACGCAAGTGCTTCTATTTCCAGAGAATCTAATTTTTATTTGATTACTTTTATTTCTGGAAACTCTGGTTTTTAGATACATTTTCTGCCTACTTGTAAAATTTATTCCTAGTCCTTGTTAAAATAAACAAGGAAGCAAGAGACAGAAGCAGCCAAGCGAACCAAACAGAACCCCAACCTGCGGTCTGACGGCTGGGCAGAACACAGCCCACAGCCCGCGGCCACGCTGGCTCGTGCCGGACTAACAGACCAGCTGTGACTGGCTCCAGCCTGCCGCGAATGGGAGAGGCTGACTGGGCGTCCTGGCGACTTCCCCAGCGCACTGACTTGGCGCCTGGCTGTGCCATACCCTAGTGCCGAATGCTCAGGCTGTTTCCAATTTGTCAGGATTGCGAATGACCAGTGATAGGGCGTTAAGCCGCCACGTCCACTCGCAATGATTAATTCGGGTACATTCCAAGAAGTGGACTTCTGAGTTCATAAAATGTTACGGTGGAGAACAGCGGACACATGATACCCAGAAACTACTTGTGGACAATAACCAAGTTCTTAGAGGATATATTTAAATCTGGAGCTGGATAATGTTGTCTCAGAGGAAAAGAAGTGGGTGCTGGAAGCTGGGGGCAGGAGAGGGGTCAGAACGGACACCCTTTCGCGTTTCTGGAGTTTTCAAGTATGTGACGATAGGACCTATGTCCAAAATAAATGGAATTTCAGTTTCAAAACACTAAGGCTTCTGAATGTTTTGACAAACTTCCTGGAGAAGTCAGACGAGTTTGCCGTCTCCCTGCGCAGTCTCTGCCTTCCCGCACACACGCACCAGCACCGGGGGCAACATTTTCCAATACTTCTATGCCGGTCTGTGAGGGATAAATGGCATCTGGTCTGGCCTTACGCATTCTCGATTGCTAATGAGTGTGCTGAGCATTTGGGTTTCTTGCTCGCCACTTGTCATCTAGGAGAGGGCTAAGCTAACGGGCTCATTACTCGAGATTCATGAGTCAGAAGTGAGGAACCCCCTGCAGGCGGAACCTGGGGTCCGGACGGCGAAGCAACTGGCCAGTGATTTTCTGGGCCTGCTGCCACTGCGCAGTGCCCGTGTGTGTGCCGAGAAAAACGTCACAGTAAGAAAAACGTACTGGAGCTTCCCTTCCCCACCTTGCACTGTGTGTCAAAGACCGGTAACAGCCGACCTGGTCTAACAGCAGATCATTGTGTTGAGCAGAGACTTCTGGATTTCCCGAACCTCCAGGGCCGTCCCCAGATCGTTGCAATCCAGAGGGACAGCACAACTGAGAGGCGGCATGAAGCCTGGGGCATTCACGCACCGGGCTTGAGGGGTGGACCGGAGTTTGCCAGAGAGGAAGAGTGGAGGGGAGTCCGAGAGGGAGCAGCAGGTGTGAAGGCTGAGGGGTGCCGGGGACCTTCCTGCAGTGTAATGGTTTGAGGAAGGGGGAGTGAGGGGCTTTGAGGGGACGTGAGTTGGAAAGACTTGGCTTCACCTGAAGAAGCGAGGGGCCAGCTTTGAGTTACTTAAACAAAACTGAGACTCATTGTTTAGAAAGTGCATGCTTATGGGGGGCCTGGGCCGAACACAGAGAAGAAAGAGACACAAAAGGCCTGGCTAGTGACAGGCCTCAGGAAGGCCGCGCCGGCGTCGGCAGTGACTGCGGCGGGCGGAAGGCAGAGAGCTCACGCCCTGTCGATGTCCTCACATTTCAGTTTACGAAGGACCAGAAATGGCAGGCACACCAGAGACGAGCGCCCCCCCAGCCGTGGCATTCCTAAGCTACAGACTTTTGTTCCAGGCTTGATTCCCTCTGGTGACGAGGGACCCGCTACCTCTCCTTTAGCTAATTTGAGCTGGTCTACACGAGACTGCTTTCCATCTGTCTGCATTCCCTCTTCCTAGGAGGGTCTCCACTGCCCTCGCACACCGGGGAAACGCGCGGGAGGTAACAGCAGCAGGACGGCCTCACCTCATTAAATTCAGGGTTCAGGGTTTTCTTCTTAATTTGGGTCTTGTGCTTGGCCTTCTTGCCCATGTCTGGCTTCAGCCACCTGACAGGAGACACGAGAGGCTCTCATGGGTGAAGTGGAGTGAGTAAGACTAGTCTTCTGATGACCCCACTGACACCTTCCAGTGTCAGGGAACAATCGATGAACAAATCAGAGAGTGACCAGACACTGAAGCGATCAAAGTGCACTAGCACATCTCCTGGTGCCGGCCAACGCCAGCACCTCATGTCTGACCCGCCGCCCACTCTGGGGGGCAGAAGTGCAGCCACCCGACCTGCATACAAGGCAACTGAGGGCTCAGCGAGGCCGAGACATTGCCTGAGCTCGCACAGCTGGGCTGGAAGCTCACTACTGCCTCTGAGGTCTGAGCTCTCAGCCACCACTTTCTCCCAGTAGGTCAAACTGAGCCCGCCTGGTGGTGCCTGGCTTCACCATCAACCATCCCTGGGCTGCTCCCAACCTCTGGGGAGTGGCTGTTTGTATAGACCAGAAAAAAAAAGAGAAAGACAGAGAGAGAGATCTAGGGCCCTCCCTGGTGGTGAAAGCACAGCTTGAGTTCAATCTCCGGCCAGGGGCTGACCCACATGGCGGCAGACCTCTTCCGTCTCCCCGCGCCCCCTCGCAGTGTGCTTCCCCAGTCTGCCTGTTCTGCTCCCCGCTGTCCCTGGGGAATCTGCTCACCCTGCGCATCGCCATCAGGTCCAGAGTCCTGGATGCGGCTGTCAGAGCCTATGTACTGGGGTCTCTGCTCCGCCCCACGGAGCTCCTGCTCGCCACCCACTACCCACCCACCCTCTTCTCTGCCCCAGGGCCTTTGCACGATGCATAGCACGTGGCAGGTGTCCGATCAAGAAGTTCTGGGGGCGTCGGTGAAGTCAGCTCCCACCTAAGTGTCTGAATTCTGATGCGGGCGGCCACTCACTGTACCGCCTCCTGCGTGTGCGTGACTCAGTTTCCCAGACTAGAGAGCAAACACTTCTTCCTGACCCACAAGCCTGATTATGAGGATAATTTTCAAGAAGAGGCACAAATGGGGGGACTGAAAGGTACGAGGGGATGAGCAACAATAAAGGTAACCCTGACTTTCAAAATCTTGATTTCTCCTACACTGATTAACAGCCTCCTGTTTCCTTTCCCACACGGCCCAGGGCAGCTGTTCTGGGGCAACTTCAGCTCTTCTCAAGGGTCGGGGTTGATGGAAACAGGCGGCTGGGAGGATTGCTTAAGAATACTAATTTGCATGTGGATGGGATTTAGCGGCCTGCAGGCCTGCAGCACCATGAGCTGATTTTCGCTCTTAGGCCGTATGAGAAAATAAAATTAGATGACTCCTGGAAATCAAACTCCTGCCTGACTGTGTCCTTGCATTGGCTGAATCATCATTCAAAGAAAATCAGAGGTACAGCTAACACCGACCGGCTATTTCCACGGGACTACGGGCAGTGAGGCTCTTAGTGGGGCGGCGGCAGCTGTGTGCAGGCTGAAGGAAAAACCAACACGTGTTCTTTGCCATGAATAAGAACAGTGCTGGTCATTGTTTGTAGCTACAAAAGGCAGCATGCTTGAGCACCTACTGGGTGCCAGACCCGTGAAATGTACCACGGGCTGCCACGGCCAGGGATGGAATTGACGGCCCCGTTGCTGGGCTCTGAATTCAGGGCTGTGTTCTCACTGATCTCAGCCAGCACCTGGGTGTCTGGGACAGCAGGCAGACACCCATCTGCGAGATGCTTGCTCCTCCGATAACCAGGTGACGCCTCGGAACTGTGCTGCAGGCTAAGACTCTTCCTGCCCAAGCTCCCTCCCTCCCCTGCACTCCCACCGGGACCAGAGCTGCATCAAGACCTGTTGTTTCCACCAGCCTCTTCCAGCTGCCTCCCAATCTCCCTTTGCAGGTGTCTCCCCAACAAATCCTTTACATATCTCGTCCTACTGTGGTGTCAGCTTCTTGGAAGACAAGACTGACTATACAGTATAAATCTTCCCATTTTTCCGATGGAGACATTGAGGCTCAGAGGTGTTAAGGTCGAAGCTGAATTATAGACACACTGAAGACACTAGGAGCTGGGATCCAACCTAGGCAGTCTGGATCCAGAGACAGTGCTTACAATTATGTCTATGAGAACACAGCTTTTGATGCCACAAGGCAAGGCAGAATTCTACTGAGGGTATCTAAACATTTCTGCAGCAGGCTCAATTCTAACTAGTTATGTACGATATTTCATTTCAACCTTTCCCCCACCCTTGGAATTATTGGGACTATTGTCTTCATGAAGAAAGTGAGGTTCAAAGAGGTTAAAGTCACACAGTTAGCAGCTGGCAGAGCTGGGAGTTGAACCCTGTGATTCAATGGTGGTTGACCTGTAATGATGGGGGTCATAAGCGACCATGGCCTTCCCTAACTACGCTCGGAAATCCATGGCCACGACACCACAGCCATGACCCCAGACAAAGGCTGGGAGATGGCTGTCCCTCTCCCACTGAAGGACACACAGCTACACACCACCTCATATGAGCAAAAGGGACACTCGTCAGTTCTGGGCATCTTTCTCACGATGTGACCTGGGACAGGTTCCTTCCCTTCTCTGGGCCTCAGTGAAGAGTGACTTGGGGAAGCGCCTTCAGTCTCCATTCCTAAGGATCCAGGACCCCTCTGGGACCCACGCGTGGCCCAAAGCAGTGACTCACAGCTTGACAAATGGATCCGAGTAGCCATTGGCATCCATGGCGGCCAGGTGCACACAGCGTATGATGCCCACAACGAGGCCTCCCTGTTGTGTGCTGTACATGAGAGACACCAGGATCTTGCCACGTTCCTCTATGTCACCAACACGCTCCACCTGCTGCAGAAGGAGAAGAGAAGTGTGGGCCCAGGAGGGAAGAAGGTCAAGCAGGCTGACGGTCAACACAGGAAAGCACTGTGGAAAGTGCTTAGTACAGCCAGCTCCGCGCCCAGCGGGCGGCCCAGGCTCCAGGGAGCAGCAGGTGGCAGAAGTTCAGAGGGCCAGACCCAGGCACACCAGATCAGGGTCTATGTAGGCGGAGCCATGGACTGAGCTGTGGCCCTGATCGGAGTGTAAGCCTTGACTTGATCCCAAGCTGATCCCCGCCCCAGCTCAGACTCCCTCCAAGCCACTGGTCTTCTAAGAACAGTCCCTGGAGCCACACGGGGGTGGGGCATAGACACTCACGATTGTCCAACCACAGCCTGTGACACATGGCAAAGGGCCTGCAGCTCCACGGGGAGAGCCTGGCCCTGCTCTAGATCCTCAGAATCACCAGCAGAGCTGCTAGAACAAGGCTGAAGAGCTGGAGTGTGGCTTGGGTACGAGAGGAGGGGGCACCCAGGGGTCGCGAGCAGCCATGCAGCCTCAGTTCTGATGCCTTGGGCAAAGGCAACTGTCCAGAGGCCCAAAAGGCGCCTTTGGGAGAAAGAGTAGGCGAGCGGCCGAAGACGGAGAAAAGGGCGGCGCCAGGCTCGGGGGCTCCCCTCCCCACGCGGTACTCACCTCCTCCTCATAAAGGGCCATGCCTCGGGCCGACCCCGTGGTGCCCGCACGCTTCATCTTAGAGGGAGGAACAGAAAGAAAAGGGAACGTCACCTGGGCCCACCCACCTGCAAGAGAAGCTTCCCTCGCCGAACCCCCTTCCTGCCCTCGGACCTCCCAGAGCCATGAGAGGAGGTCGCAGGACTCTGTGGCCCTACAGCTCTTGCCGTTCTGGGTGACGTTTACGTATCCAACCATTTGGCACCTTAATGCTCCAGGCTGTCTCACTGGCCCCATGTCACAGGTGAGGACGCTGACGCTCAGAACAGTCCGGCCACCTGCCAAGGCTGCGCAGCCCGTCGGTGGCAGAGGCCCCATGCAGACACCGGGTGCAGTCCCCTGCTCTGCTTCCCATGGCACAGGGGCCGGGATGTTTCTTCCCCTGAAGCCCCTGAAGTCCTTTGCAGAATTCTAAGGCTCTGGGAAACAGAACCTGACCACCTACTAGTTAAATCCAGGGACCTGAGATCGGAGGACGAGGACAGGGCCCGCTTTTGGTGGGGCATGTGGGGAGTGGGCAGGGGCAGGGGTAAAGGCAACGGGCAGGAGAACAGTCCTGCGGCCACTGCAGGTCTCAGCCGTCCTGCACCTCTGTGCCCCTGGATGGCGAAGACCCAGGAGCTGACTGTCCTGGCAGGGCCTGGTCACCATCCTGACAACTGGACCGGCTGAGTGGAGGGAGGAAGCCAAAGAACCCGCTGTTATCGGCAAAGACCCAGGGAAAAAGCTTCCCACCCAGGGTTGTGCTATTTGGCGTCCCGTGCGCAGTGTAACCTCTTCCTCGCAGTTTTCCTTGCTGCGTTTGGCTTCTTTGCTTGTGCCGTAAGGACAGGGCGTGGCCCATGGCGGCTCCATCTGAGCCTGGCCGTCCGGCAGGGGGACGCTGTAGGGATCCCGTCCTGCCCCCAGGGGCTGCCCTGGGGGCGGGGCGGGGTCACCCCTGCTCCTGGTTGAGGAGCCTGGGCCCAGGCCTGACAGCACGAGTCCCACCTCGCGTGTGACCTCGGCCACTGGGCTCCCTCTCCGCGCCCCGTTTGGTTCATCTGTAAAGAAGGGCAAGCTGGAGCATTTTCAAAAATCTAAAGTACTGGGTCCTGGCCAACCCCACGAAGTCAGAATCTCCGGGAGAAACCAGCAGAGAGCCTTCGGAAGGCTCTCATGTTAAAACGTGCAGGTGGTTCGCAGGTCTAGCCTAACTGAAGCCTAATTCTCCACTTCAGCTGGAGAACCTCAGGGAGGCTCCTGTTCTTTCTAAAAAGGTGAGCACCACATCTAACAACAGTAGTTCCGGTGCTTCCCAGCTGCTCTCACATTTAATACTTAGACGATCCTGTGAGGTTGGTACTGTATCATTTCAAACTGCAGAGGAGAAAACTGAGGCCCAGAGAAGTCAAGCAATTTGCCACAGGTGAGACCAGCAGTGGCAGGGCCAGGAGTGGAACCCAGGAGGACGAGGTGCCAGAGTCCATGCCCTTCTGCACTAAACTATGCTGCCTCCCGTTTACCTGCCTGGTGTTTACCCGCCTGCCAGGACTGGGGGGCGGGTAAGGCGTAGCGCTTCCTGCAGTAGCTCCAGCTAACGGGCGCGAGTGCTTACTACACACTAGGTTCTGCTTGGATCATGTCTTCCATGCAACCTGCCTATGAGGCAGAAACTATCCCAACGATCACATGACAGGGGAGAAAAACTGAGGTCCAAAGTAGCCTCATCCTTGACCAAAGCCGGAGCTTTGACAGCCTGGGAAGTGACAGAGCAGGCTTGCACCAGGCGGCTCACAGCACTGCCCTGCCCAGCGTCACCAACCAGGCCTCTGACACTCAGAGAAGTGACGCTGACACATAACTCAGGGCGTGGAGAGGACATGGCCAGATTCTACCCCAAAGTTCTGGCTGGAAATCTTTAGCCGCCAGGCGACAGAGCTGCAGCCCTTCTGATGTCTGGTACCCTGCAGTTCATTCCACCCCTCCTGCGGGCCTAGAGGGAGAAGCCCCCCCGCCCCCCCGAAGAGTCTTCCCTTCCATCCAACCTCAGGCCAAAGGCACTCACTGGGATCACGCGCTCCAGGCAGATATTGAAATTCTTCCTCTGGTTGGGCTTCAGTTTCTTGAGTGAGAATCTGGTCTCACCGATGAACTCGTTGTGGCCAAATTTGTCCTCATCACAGACGGAGATCCTGGGGTTGACATGGGGGTGGGGAGAAAAGGAAGAACAGGTGCTGAGCTCCTACTCTGTACCAAGAGCTGTGGTTGAGCTGGCAAGGAATGTGCTCTGGGCGCTGGCCCGGGAACCCCTGGGTCAGGCCTCTGCACTCTTCTCTCCTGCAGTATAACCTGCGAGCGGGAAGCACACGTCCTAACGTGATAACCTGATGGCGTTTGAACATACCAGTCCTTGCGACCCTCCTAGCCGCTAACTCCCTCTGAGGATAACCCGATCTTGACCTCTGGGGCTGGATTCACCGTCCCGTTTCTGACCTTTGTATAAATGGAATTGGACGGCCGCACTAAAGCATGGACACGCGGGAATGTGCATAATGACTCAGTCGTTACACTGGTGGGTATGCAGCAGAAATGCATGCTCCCACAAACAACTTCTGGAATGTTCCTTTGAAAAATGTTCCCAAACCTGACCTACTATGTTTACCACGGCATTACTTATAGCAGCAAAGATAGAGAAACAACCCAAATACCAAAAAATAGATGAATGGATCAAGAAGATGTGGTATATAGACACAATGGAATACTACTCAGTGATCAAAAAGCAAGATCCATGCCACCCACAGCAACATGGATGGAGTGGGAGGGGGTTACGCTCAATGCAGTAAGTCAGCAGGAAAAGGGAGAATCCTGGTGGGTTCACTTAGAGGAGGGATATCGGGAAACTGAACAAAGGGTTGGGAAAAGGCAAAATATGTAGGCAGATCATAGGTCTCAGGCATGCAGCACGGAGGGGTGAGGCGAGGGGTCAAAACAAGAGGGAGGACCACCAGGGACTGTGGCGAGAGTTCCCAGGTGATGCGGTGGGAGAGTAAGGTGGACCAAACCTGAGGAGAGAAATCAAATAGTGTTCTGAGAAGTGATGTAAGAAAATAAAAAAGTTTAATCAAATAATAAGCAAAAACTTAAGAGTTCCCAGCAGCGCTTACTTATAACAGCCCCAAGCCAAGACTAGCCAAATGCTCACTGTCGGGTGGATGAAGCTGTGTCACCCTCACACAGTGGAATTCTGAAGGCGATAAGAAGGAGTGGTCTGTGAGGACACACACCTGGGGTGGCTGTCGCAAATATTACACACGAGGAGACAGACCCGAGACTGTGTACACATCCATTTACAGGAGGCACCAAGTCAGACTAAATTAATTTGTCCTGGGAGAAGTCAGGACAGTGAATGCCCTGAGGAAGAATCCTCCCTGGAAGGAAGCCCTGGGGGCTGCTGTGGTTCTGGAATGCTCAGTTCTCTGATTCCAGCATGTTCATTCTGTGAAAACTCCTCAGCCTGGGCACTGGGTCTATGCTTAAAACTCCTCAGCCTGGGCACGGTCTATGCTTACTTTCCTAAATGGATGCCACACCACAGTAAAACTGTTTACTTACTGGTGGGGATGGGCTACGAAGAACCAATTTGAAAAGCAGTTTGCATGTCTTGTAAAATTAAAGCTTACACACCCATATACACCTCGTGCAGATATTCCTCCTTGGATTCTATCCTAAAGCAACAGTCACCTACACAAGAAAGTTTGCTAAATACACGTGAAACTTTGCCATAGAGAAAATCTGGAAACAGTCCGAAGGCCCACAGGGAAGGAGTCACATACAGGTGACAACCTTTACACAAGTTTTAAAACCTGCAAACAACAGCGTCCATTGATTATCACTATATAACCAGAAGGCAGCTCAGGCATGAAAGCCATAGAATTAAGGGAGGGAAGGAAGAGAGGCGGATGGGGGACAGAGTTCCCCAAAAGAAGCCTGATTTCGTAGGGAAAAAAAAAAAGAATTCGGGCCCTCCCTGGTGGTGCAACAGGTTAAAGCGCAGCGCTATGAAGCCAGCCACAGCCGCTGCAGCCCGAGTTCAATCCAGCCAGGGAGGTGACCACATGGCAGCAGGCCTCGCCTGTCCCCCCGCTGCTCCCCTCAGCAGTGGATTTCAGTGCATCTGCCTGTTCTGCTCCCCGCTCTGTCTCTGATGAAGCCTTTTACCGACCCTGAACCTCTGGCCCGTACCCCAGTTCTGAATGCACAAATCAAGAAATCTTTAAAAAAAAGAAAAAAGAAAAGAAAAGAAAAAAGACCAAGATCCACAGTATACAGCCTGGTGCTTTGCGCTGCAAACACCAGCCTGCACCGTGTGTGTCATGCAAACAGGCACATACTCTGGGAGGAATGCAGAGGCTGGAGAGCAGACTCATTTCAAAGGGGCGCGAGTTAATATTTCTTCATGCTTTTTGCAAGCAGAATGTATTCATTTATTAGTTAAAAATTTAAAATGCAACTCAGTGCAACACTGTAGAAGTACAGGAGATGGCACCAACATATTGCCACAGGAAGAGGGTGATTAGCTCACAGGATGGTCCTTTAATATAAACACTCGATTTTATAAGATAAACTTCTGCGCACACACACACACACACATCCCAGATGTCCAGATGTTAGTATCTAACATTTTCACTTATTTGTATTTTCAAAAGTTTCTACCAGAAAGATACGTTGTTTTGTAGCAGGTGAAACAAAACAAACTACATACAATCGCATTTCCATTTACGGAGCACACCCCTCCCGCCCTGACACCTCGCCCCTCGGCCTGCCCAGCCCTAGGTCCCTCCCGGCAGGCACCTGAGAGTCTTTCGCTGCATGTCCTCATCCGTGATGCCATGATAGACGAGTGTCTCATTCCAGATGGGGTTCCGGGTGTTCCGTAGAGTTTTTGTACGAAGCTTATTGGACTAGAATCCAGAGAGATGGACAGACAGACATCTGCCTCAGCGGGGAGCAGCCCAGTACCCCACCTTTGTAGCTATTTGGAGTGGGTGGGTGTCTTAGGAACCCACGTCCCCTAGGAGAATCTAGGGACTCCATTTCTCCCAACTGGAGGTTCTCGGGGAAAGGGGGTACCCTCTAGGCTGATGGCTATCATCAGCACTAATGCCAGACAGTGGCTCACCTGCCCCCTTTGAACTTCCATTAAAATTAAAAAGCAGAGATATCTTCCTTTGGGAAAAAAGTATCTATAGGGTAGGGAAGCAGAAATGAGAATCACCTACTCCTAGGCGGTAAGGAACAATTTCTGGCTATTATTGGGTTTATTTCCTCTGTTTCTCCAAATAGCATTCTCCATGCTGAAATTCATTTGAGGGGACAAAGGTTTTCATTTTACTTGAAGAGAGGTTAGAAATACACTGTACCCAGAAGAGGTGGCTTGGAGACCAATCTAATTCTTACTAACATGTAAATGACTGATTGGATTCTTTGGCAATGAAGCCAAAGCACTTTGGATTAAGGAGGGGGTGACAGAGAGGGTCTCAAGGAGAAGCGAACATGGCTGGGGCATGCCAAGCGAAGAACTGTCTTTCCTTGATCCAAACGAAGAATTGGTGAGATTGTGTGTGAGAGAGAGTGCCCTCTTTTGTCTGGTGGAATGTCTGATACAGAGGTTTTTTATCGGTCATTTCCCCACAATTAAGTAACCCAGCAATTTGTTTTTCAGGGCACCCATGTCAATGTAACACAACAAAGCGGAAAATAAAGACAGCATACTTCCACTTTTAGCCGTGTTCTGAATGGCTGAATCCGGAGAGAGAACTAACCCCCACTTTCCCTCCCCAGAGCTGTTAAAAGACGCTTAGCAGAAAGCCAAAACATTTGTCTTGCAAGCCAACGCCCTTTTGCCTTCTGGGTTTAGAGCCTGTAGACTTAAGACGAATGTTTGACGCCCCTGCCAAGAATGTGCTTATCAGTTCCTGGAGTGGGGGGGGGTCTTCATAGGAAACACAGAGGGAGCATTCCGCGGGGGAAGGCATTGTAAAATGTATAAAAACTACTGCCTGTGAAATCGGGGCTCTCTGAATAAACCTGCCTCTGCTGGATTTTACTGTCTCTGTTCTCGTCCTTTCTGCGTTTCCTCGGGGATCGGAATTCTGGACTCAACCAAGCAAGGTAACGATCAACAGGTGGGCTGGAAGGGAAGCGAGGAGCAGGCGGGATGGTACATTTTCTCTCCAAACAGAACAAAAATCTGACCTGGAGAGTAACTACTCACTCCTGCTGCAAGATGAGCCGTGTCTGGTTGGGACATAAAATGCGGGTGGGGGGCATGATCAACACTGGGGAGCCTCTTGAAGAACAGGAGAGGGGCTGCTGGCAGCTCCCCACTTCCAGGTTTCTGGGGTGGAGATGAGCAGGGCCCCAGCCCCCTGAGGGAGGCCCATTCCTGGGCCACCCCTTGCCCCTGGCAAAGATATTCTCATGCATAGGCGGAGGAGAAATTCAGGCAGAAGAGGCTATTTTAGGCCTGGCTGGGAACCCCGCGTGCCTGGCTTTCCCGAGGCCCAGGCCAGCTGGTACCTTGCTGGCTCCTGGCAGGAGGTGCAGCTTCACGTAGGGGTCAGCCAAGCCGTTGGAGTCCATGGGCTTCAGTCCCTGCAGAAAAGGCAGTGAGGCATGAGGACCTCAGGAGGGCCAAGCAGGTAACAAGGGGCATCGCCCCTGGCATGTTCCCTGCCCGTGAGCCACCCTGTGCGCCTTCTCTCCCAAGGCGGGGAAGGAAGCGCAAGACCATGAAGAGAGCTGCAGTTGGGCAGACAGGACTTAACCTTGGCACTGCCTGGCTGTGTGACCTTAGGGTAGTTTCTTAACCTCTCAGAGTCTCATTTTCCTCAGCTGTCAGATGGGATGAGCTCGGTATCTGCTTGAAGCTGACCACATGTGCAAACTGCTGGCCTTCAGTAAATGCTCTGTCGAGGCTGAACTGCTGCGCCAGGACAAAGGATGGGAGAGAGGAGAGGCCAGGGAAGTGAGACCCGAGTTCTGGCCCTGGCCCCTGCACTCCCTTCTGAGACTTCAGATTCCCCTTCCAGAGAATGAAGGTCACTACCTCGGCTGGCCCCCCGAACAGGGATGGCATGAGGAGACAGGAGACACGGGCTCAGATAGACTCTGCCCCCCAAACCCACCTCTGTGCCTCACTGTCCCCTCCCAGCACTCATCCATGTGCTGTGCCCGCGGCCAGAGGAGGCCCCGACCTGGACTGCCCAGTGCTGAGCCCTGTCAGCCGCGGCCAGAGGAGGCCCCAACCTGGACTGCCCAGTGGGGAGCCCTGTCCGCCGCGGCCAGAGGGGGCCCCGACCTGGACTGCCCAGTGCTGAGCCCTGTCCGCCGCGGCCAGAGGGGGCCCCGACCTGGACTG